AGAGAGGGAAGTATTAAAACGAACGATATACAATTCGAGTGCCGAGTCTACAGTCTCGTGCAATTAAATGTAAATGTTAAATAAGAGAGCCTCGCTATGCGAGAGAATGATATTAATGAGTAACGAAAAATATTTTATTTTTCTAATTATGCATTACAAAATATCATCCTTAATTAATAACATATATAATATATTCAAAGATATTTACGTATATGTGTATATAAGTATGGATATAAAATGGCAAAATCGAACATTAAATATGCATATGTACGTATATAGTATACACGATGGTATGCCAATTTACACATATGAAATTCATATTAATAAAACAGCTGCTGCAGGAAATTAGCCAAAAATTTATAAACTTTCAACCATATGCACATTGCTAATAAAGCAACAAGTAAGAAAGCTGCATCACCTGGCTGTCCAACAATCGGCCCATACAAATGTTAAACTACATGCGATATGAGGATTTTTCGATATGCTATACACAAATACTTGTGCAGCATAGCTATATACATTGGAAAGCTTTTGAAGCAGACAAGTACCGGAATGGATTCATCTACTTATCTGTCTGTCTATCACGGTCAAAACATAAGAATTCAACTAATTATTATTATTGTAAATTACTTATGCCAAAGAAATAAATTCTCTGGTTAAAAAGTAGGATAGGCATTAGCGATCAAGAGTACAGTTTTAAAGGTGGACTAGGCGGTTAGTTTAGCCGCCTAAAAATATTTCTTGTTAAATTTTAGATTAAAATAAAACGGGTAAGAACGTCGTAGCCGGGTCACGTACACTACAGCACTTCAATTAGAACAATTCTTGATTTATTAGATCGAGTCAACAATAGCTGCCGATGCAGGTAGATATAATATATCGTTCGTATTCACCTACTATAAGTCAGCGACACAAGAAACAGAGCTTGCTTTCGCTATATAGATGGGGATTCAGTTAATGTTTTACGTGGTGCAAGTTACATTCGACTGTTATTTCTGATCTCTGAAATGGAGAGTTAAAAGGTCTATATTCGACCTGTAATACTTTAGGACTGTAAAAAAATTAATAGCGCTAAGACGACCACTGAAAAGTTATCCAGCTGATAACTAATTAGGCAATTAGAAGTGGATTTGCAAAATTCCGTTGCGAAGCTACGACCTTAAAAGGCTGGATGTCGTTCCGGCTTTGACAACAACCTTTTAAAGGGAATATTGGACCAAAATCAAAAAAAGAGCCAAGCAAGATCCAAATTTGGTGCATCCGAAAAATAGGCCGAGATAGTCCAAATTTGGTACACCTAATTTTTTTATAGTAATGTACTATTTCGATATAATTGACAATTATACCTATTGTCGCATGAAATTTAGTCTTAGTTATATGAGAGGGAATTCGCAAATTGATCCAGCCGGTGCAAAGTTTTCACACCAATGTAGAATGTCGAAATACTATTGCTTAGCCACTTTTGCCAAGTAATTTTGGAAAGTACAATTTTTTCAATCATTGCCAAAAGCATTCGTTCTTGGGCCAAAACAGGTCACTGACGGACATATTGGGTTAAATCAATTCAGATCAAATTAGCATACAATTATTCATATAAATACTTTTTAAAATAAGACGTTATATGACAAGTGGTTGAAAAAGTGGTTCGATCCCAAATTTCATCAAAATATCTCAAAAATTGTAACCTGTATTTTGAGCACAAAAAAACGACAGATGGACCGACGGACAGACAAAATATAGACCGACTCAGAAAGTGGTTTTGAATAATAAAAGGGTCTTAAGCCTGTCAGTTTATTACGTACGTCTGCACTAATACAATATACCCTGTAACACAAGTCAAGTGTTGTATGATATAATGAAATCTTGATTACTAAACTAATGGATGAGAATAACATTTTCAATATCAAGGCTTAAGTCGAAGCGTACAGTTTCCTTAAAATTTTACGTATACGCATTATCATAATCATGACCATTTGAACAAGAGTTAATCCATTTGCAGTTATATTTAGAGATCACATTAACAAATTCGATCGAGTAAGAATCGTACGCATTGTGTGATGACTTTCTAAATTTTCGTTAATTCGTTCAATGATATCCTGAACATGAAAAATAATTTTGCGGATTAGAAACTATTTAGGAAAATACTAAAAGGAGCTTGGGCCTAATTTAAAGCCTTGCGAAAAGTATGACATTTTGAAAATCTTTTGCTCCAATACTTGCATTATATTCGGAATAGATTTTCTTGGCTTTCGCCCTTCACTTTTTCTATATTCCGTTTGTGCACTTGCAAGAACACAGACCGAACAAAAAATAACTCATCTAACCTTAAAAGAAAGTGCTTCTGGCGAAATATGATGATTATTATTGTACCCAATAAAGACGCATCTAATTACATTATATGTGTAAATGCCCTAAGAAGATATAAATTGATGTCCTTAAAAAAAAAAAAATTGTATAAGTTTATACCGATATTACGGAATTGAAAATAGTGAAAACGATATTCCAGCAAACGGGAATGAGAATTTATTGATTATATGAAACTGAGCGGTTGTACGAGCGATTTGTTGTCTTTTAAAAAATTTGAATATTTGGCGGGAAATTTTGCCGATTTCTACATATATCTATTTATTATTATTATTATTATTATTATTACTATAATTTTAGACTAATGAAATAAATTCTTAGACTTGAGCACTAGCAACACAGGCTATCGGCTCTATATATCTATTTTCTGTTGATTTATTCATGGCAGATGGAAACGTCACGTTGCAGGCATTTAGTGTTTATAATGTCAACAACACATTTGGGGAGTCCATGACTGATAAGAATGATTGGATTGCTTATGACGCTCGTTTCATTGATGTAACGCTTCTGAACGCTTTTGTTCGCTTACCGTGTTCTGTAATGATGAAATGAAGAAATTTATCAAGTTAGAAGAAGCAGAAGTCACTTCATTTTCATAAAAAGGATATGAATGAAAATGAAGCTCTTTAGTTAAGGTGATCATATCAGTGCGATTCGTTATGTTTGCTACACACAACGTTTCTCGAACTTATTTCACTTACATAATTTCCCTCAATTGAATTAAATTTACTTAAGTCATTTTGTTCATTTATTGTAAAATATTTAAATATTCTGTACATAGAAATATTCTTATATGTCCATTATAACCTAATGCTCTTACATCAACTTACATATATATGTATGTATACATATTTACAATTATAATTAATTTAAATTTAATTTTTTCATACCGTAAACAAGCAATCATTTTAAAAATATGTTAAAAAGTATTTTCGCTCCCCCATCCCTTTTTTAAGGGAACTACGCCGGCGTAACAATGAAAACTTCACCGTTGCTGTTAACCACTTCAGCCATGGTGACATGGCTGGTGACAGCCGCAGTTGTCGCATTATTACTGTTATTGTTACTAATTGTCAAATTACTTGAGGTAATTACTGATAAGTTTGCGTTATTTACATTTCCGTGATGTTCAAGTTTATTATTGCCATTGCCATTGATGTTAGAAGGTGACGTTGCTGCTACCAAACCGTGTCCGGTTTGATGCACATGATCGTTTAAATCATTCACATTATAAAAGATCATCAAACATTCGCCACATTTAAATTTTCCCGTATCAGTCGGTTCCGGATGCTTCCGATCGATGTGAGCTTTCAACGATAGCGGACTTGAGAAGCCCTTACGACAATTGTCAACTGCACACAAGAAGGAACGTTGCTGATGTATTTGCCGATGCCGGTAAAGAATCGCTTTCGTTTTGAATGTTTTACCGCAAATTTGACAAGTCGGTGTTTTTGCCGCCGATTGATGTGTTTTCATGTGCATTTTCAACATACCCGGTCCCTTAAAACTTTTCTGGCAAATTTCACATTGGGGTAATTTCTTACAATTGGCTCGTATCCAATTTGAATGAGAATGCATGTGATTCTGTAAGCCTTTAAATTGCCGGAACTCCTGCCGACACAAATTGCACATATACCGTCCCGACCCTACAACGGTTGTTTGCTGGTTAATAAAGTCCGCTATTAATTTCTCGTCAATCTCAAAATCTTCGTCTCCTCCGGCAGCCGCCGCTATAGAAGACGCTGTAGCCGCCAATTGACGTGAATTAATTAAAGTTTTAGCGTTGCTTGCACGTTTGTGTTTTTTTGATGTCGTCACCGCCACATTATTATTATTGTTGTTCATTATTTGGGTGACGCTGACCGTTTGCGGGAGATTATTATTTTCAGTTTTTTGCAGTTGTTGTCCACAAGCCGCCTGTAAAACCGCATTAACTTCAGCTTCAACAAGAACTTCATCGTCATTTTCAGCCACCACCGTGTAGTGAGTTAATGTAACATTATCTACACTGTCTTCACCTGTATTTTCATCGATCATTTCTTGGTCATTGTCCGGTTCCGTTATGAATTCAGCATTGCTCGCATCCAAAAGTACAGCATCCGTCTCATCATCTTCATCCAACATTTCTTCTTCGAATTCTACCTGCTCAATTATGTCGTCATCATCATCATCATCAACATCTTCGACCTTATTTGGTAAAATGTGCTCTTGCTGATGTAAGACAAGATGATGATGGCGCTGCTGCTGTGTGGTAGTAACAGTTATATCCTCCAAATATTCCATCTCCTGGCTATCGTTATGGCCTAATAGTTGCTGGTGATGCACTTGTAATTGATCGTCTTCAACAACGATGGTTTCACAAATTTGATCTCTACTCCCCATATGTGTGCCAGAATCGTCAGGCGGCACTTCCTCAAGATCATCATCGTCGATTAGATGCTGTTCGCTTTGCTCCATCAGCGTCTCTTCATCCACCATAGTTATTTGTTCTTCATCAATGATGGCCGTTGAGCAATTCGCCCCCGAAGCGCTTAATCTCTGCGGAACTAGTTGGACGAACTGCAACACATGCTGCCCGTTAGGCTGCTGTATCAATTGCAACGTCTGCCCACCAGTTGTTTGAATAAGATGAGGGGCAAATTGTGGCGTGGGTTGGGCCTGAGGAGGAGGCGGATTTGGGTTCGTAATGATTTGCGTTAATTGCGGTGCTCCACCGTTTGTAGTAACAATTTGTGCAGTGGTTATTATCTGCCCATTCGGCAACAGAATCTGTTGCGGCAAGTGAGCCGACGTCGCTGGTACTATTGTGCTGTTTGTTGTCGTCGAATGATTTGAAGTTATTGGCAAAAGTTGCGGAGCTGTTGATAATAAAGGCGGTGGAGGGGGTAATCGCGGGGAAGCATGCAAAGTAACCGGCTCTGCAATAGACATTGTGTGTGGTTGTAATATTTGTTGCGGTTGAATAGAAGGTGGTGGCTGTTGTTGTTGATGTATTTGAGTCTGCTGTTGTTGTTGTTGTTGCTGTTGTTGTTGTTGCTGTTGTTGTTGCTGTTGCTGTTGCTGTTGCTTTTTTCGACTAATTCTTTTTTTCTGAGTTATTGAAGACTGCTGCTGTTTCTGTTGATTTATTTGCTGCTGCTGTTTTTCTTGTTGCTGCTTTTGCTGTTTTACTTGCTTCTGTAAAAGTTTTTGTTGTTTTTGTAGCGGTATTTTTACAGGCGACTGATCCTGCGGTGTTTGCAATAAAACCTGTTGAGCTTGCGGTTGCAATTTCAAACCCGGAACTTCGTTTAGGAGCAGTCCTTGCTGAATTCGCACTTCTGGTGCGTCGTCAATAAGCACACGCACGGTCAAGGATTTTATGTATTCACGCAACTCTTTATCACTACGTTCTGCTAACATTTTAAATGCATGACACCGCGATACTGAATGAACACACTGCACGCATATTTTATCGGGCCAACCTTCAGTTGGTTCCAAATTAACAGTGGCACATTCCATTAACATTTCAGCCACCTTTTCACTAAATAGCGGCCTCATGTCTTTACGTTCACATATACAAACGCGACATATCTTATCCAATTCCAAAACTTTCTTACGTTCCATCATTTAAAATTGCGGTATGGCTGCTGTATGTTAAATTTTCCAAAAATTAATGATAAAATCCTCATTTTAAGAGATAAAACAAAAATGTTTTGGAATTTGTTTATAAAATTTCAATTAAATTTTTCTAATAAATACCCTGTAGCAAGAATTTTGTGAAATAGGCTGATATATAAAAGGAGAAAACTCTATTATTTAAAGATAAAAAATTTTAACCGCACACTGAGAGACTTTAATAAGCATACGTGAGGGAAAAATATGCATGGATACAAGAAGAAAAAGCGATAAAAGCAAAAAATAAATTTTGAGGAATACGTCTACAAAAAATAATTGCGAGTTTCGTTTAGAAAACTTGTTTATAAAACAAATGTCGTGGCAACAAATTCCAAAACATTTTTTTCGACAAAATCATATGTACGCACTTACTCGTTTTCCGAAAAAGATTAGCACAATTTCCGCGTTTTTCCCGATTTTAGTTAAAAAAGAAATTGTTATTGCAAACTTTGTACAGTCGATTGTTAGAGAATAAATTCACTTTAAATTCATTGCTACGAGATATTCCAAATTTTTACTTGAAACACTTTTCAAAACAATAACAAACCACAAACCCGTTAGAAGAGTTTGATGAAAAAAATTCCTCTTTCAAGAAACGAAATAACTAGATTTTTTCTTTTGCAATTTTATCAAAGGAATTTCCACAGGAATATATTTTTATATGCAAAGAAATTAGCAAAATTGACTCTACGAAAAACCTTTTGTCTTACTCTGACGTCGGTAGTATACAATGGCTACTCAGAAAATGAAAACGAAGTTGTTTCGTTTTTCGGCTAATGTGTAAGAAAAATGACCGATTATTACTTTTTCTAATCAATCACTGTAGTTGTTTCTTTTTGATAGCTTAAAAATCTTTAAGAGAGAAAAAAGAACAACACATAAAATTAGGGCATTGCCAACATAAATATCCTAGCCGAGTTTAATTAACATTTGTAATGCTACATTTTTTCTTTACTTTAGCACACTTACCTTTTCTTATTTTATAAGTTTTTAAAATAAAATCACATTATTTTTAAGTTGTCAGCTTTAATTCTTTCACTCACATACAGCTTCACGTATTTGTGAGGCGTGTTGCACTTTTTATTTAAATTTTTTCACAGTTTTATTTTTGCATGATTTCTCGAGCCTGCCGTATGTCCACAATTCACAATTTATTTTTAGGAAAAATTTTCAAGTAATATTCTCTTCGCTACTCATACTTTATCTAATTATTTTTTCCAAAGTCCTAATAAGAATAATTCTCCTAATTGTATCCTAAAATCATGACGTGCAAACACAAGAGTATTAGAAAGAAAAAACAAATTTTCTCGTGGAAAAATAAAAAAAAAATAAATAAAGAGTTGCCGTGGTTAACCTAAATCCGTGGAGAATCAATAGTGATTTAAATTTATTATTCTTTCTCGATTTATACAAATATGTCGAAGGTAAAGAAATCTTAAAATATTTTCATATAAATAATTAAATTGTATTCACCCTGAACTCCCAGCGTCTGAATAAAAAGATTACTGATCATATGCTTGACTTTTTGCACTATTCGTTTAAATGGTCGTTTACATTGAACGCAAAGAGGAAATTTTGGTTGGTAGAGTTTTTGTTTACATTGTGAAGAGGAAATTTTGATTGGTTGAATTTTTGTTTACATGTGAAGATTTTACATGTTGTTGTTGTTGCATGCTGCAATTTTTTTTATTTGCTACTGCACGTGTTTATGCACTTTTTGATTTGTTGTTGCATTTTGCACTTATTTAGATACGTTTTGGTGGGTAAGCACCCGCTAGCTCGTTATTTTATGCTATTATATATTATATTATTATATATTACTATTAACCAAATCGAAGCGTGGCATTCAAGGTATTTTCCAAAATTGTCTCACTTAACGAATGAACTCTGTCAATGCTTGATTGACCCGATACATTGGCATAAATTGAATGCATTCTTGTACATCGATGGCAAATGAAAGAATAGCCATTTTTTGCTATAGTTTTTTTAATCAGTTTAGCGTGTATTTACGAGTCTTCATGCCGGTGAATTTATATTTTTGTCGTGGTTCTTTTTTGGTGCATACATGCACTATCCCTATAATTAGGGCTAAAATGACGCCAGCCACTACTAATACTCCCAATACGAACCAAGGATATAAGTCTGAATAAGATTCGTCATCGTAATCTTCCCTATCGGTTATTTCGTCATCAACAACCCAAGCAGGTAATTCGTCCCCACCGTCATTACTGTCGTACTCCATTGAGGATGTGTTTTCCTTTTTAAAAGTATCTTCTTCAGCTATTATACGTTCCATTAGCTTTCCTTTCTGGTTAAAAGCGCTTGACTCCACCAAGTCGTTTTCGGTAGGCATTTCAAAAACTGGTTCCGCATTTTCAATACGGGTAAAAGTAATGTCACCATCGTTTAGCTCTTTTTTGAAACGCCTAATGCCTGAACCATAATATTCATAGATGTCAGCTTTAAATTTTCGATGATTTTCCGACCACTGGCCAATCACATTAACATCATTGTTACTTCTGGGTTCCGCTTTACGACCAAAAAAGGCTTTCTGTTAAAATACAAGTAAATTGGAGTTAATTTAATCATTAGAACAAAGGACAAAGGAAAAACCTCCTTAACATCGATGCCACTCGCACCCAGCTCGTCCAATTCCAACATGACATTTTTGTGTTCAAAAAATAAAGGCAGCTCCAACATATCATCGCCATAAATAGTACTCAAATTTAATTCCAACTTCTCCTCATACGTATAATTCAAACTTCCATAGATGTATTTACGATCGCGACTATAGTTTTTCAATGTCGTTTTACCCAGCAATGTTTTATAACTCTCTGTCGAATTAATCCAAGAAGAGAAGCTAACATTACGCAGCTCATAACTTAATGGTTGTATTTCGATTAATACATTAATATCGTCACCCAAGTCATACTAGAAAAATGTACATTTTCAACATAAATTCCTGTGGAGAATAGAACTCAGCTCAGAATACTTACGAAATTATCCTCATGAACCATAACAACACAAGTGAAGAGGTTCGATGATATATGATTGACAATATCCGAATGCCTAAAATGGCATAACTCAGATTTGTTTTGCTCTTTATCCGTGCCTTTGGCGATATAATTAATATACGACTAAATAATACATAAAAAAGATTAAGTTCTCTGCATCATTATCGTAATAATAGGGCGATATTTATTTACCTCTTTTGGATCCAATTCCTGAGCGTAGAATTGTTCGACTAAATGATAAGGTATCCAAGCCAATAGTAAACTGTTAATACTGTTACATATATCATGATGAGTGCCGCGACCCTTCATATCACCATTGTTAAATTTCAAATAGTAATATAAATCGTTAGAGTATGCCGAGGCGCCATGAGCCTTACACACGGTATTGGAAAAATTCTCCTGAAAAACAGGTTTTTTTTTTTCCACATTTAAATTAAATCGATTCATTGTTCATTACCAACTACTTTTAATCATTAATTGAATCATTACATTTTCTTGCCCGGACATTAATAACATTTGTATAAAAACCATACATGGCACATAAATTCGAGGTCAAACTGATTGCATTCGTCAAAATTTAAAAAAAAAAACAAAAACAAAAACAAAAAAAAATCCATATGGTTTTAAGCGATGCATATATATGCTCATTGTCAATATGTTAACATTATTTATCTCACCTTTTCATCAATTGTTAAAGTGGTAACAACTATCTCGCATATGTCAGATTTCTCTTCTCTAGACTTTTCTTCATCCTTTAACAAAGATGCGGACGTATTTATGCAAAATTTGTAATTTTCTTCAAATTTCTTCGCACCTATTATGGCGCCTTGCGTATATAGAATTAAAAAGAAAAAATTTAAAAAAATTAACATTGCTGTTAATGATTTATGATTTATGCAATCAGCGATTAAATTGTATCTCCACTGCTCAATTAGAAAATTGAAACTGAAGTTTAATTTACAAATATTCGCTTTTTTAATTGAAATTATTTTTGAAACATAAAGTGTTCGTGCACATGTGTATGTATTAAGTCTGACGAAAAAAGCAATGTAATTTTTTTTTTTTGTATATGGATACATTCCAGATACGCGTACAGTATTATTGCGGTGGCTGTCTGAACGATCTACAGCAAGATGAAAAACTTATTGTGGACTTGGGGCAACAATGGCGTAGCGATTGCTTTTGTCGTGCTGAGCAGAATTGATAATTTAATAAGGATGGTGTCCTTTTTTCCAAGGAGGATTACGTTCAGCGCTTCGGTGAAGCATGCCAACAATGTAATCAGGGATTTTTGTTCCACATCGTGTAAAGCATTCGGTTATGGAGGATAGTACCCGCTATTGGAACGTTCTAAACTTTGTTGTGGCCTTTGTTACACCAAACACATGCTAAAACCTATTAAAGGTAACAGTTCGTCTCGAAAGCCTTTGCACGCCATACGATTGGTAGAGGAACCAAGAGACGTTGCACCCAGCATAAGTTTGTCTGTTGACAGTGTTAGTAATCAGCCATAAATTTTATTAGGACTTGAATGGACTTTCTGGAAAGTGTCGTTGTTGTTGTAGCTACTTCCACAAATTCTTTGTTAATAAGCAATATTAACTAAAAATATAAATTTAAAATATGTTTTAAACCAGAGAAAGGATCAGCTTCTGCGATATAGTTTAGAGTATATTTTTTATTTTGCTAAATGATCCTTTAATTATTTACGTTGCTAGATTCAATTGTATTCATTTTATGTACTTAAAAGACCATTTATTTCCGTTCAATAAATTTGCGCGCTCGCACTTTCATTAATTTTAAATATTATTTATTTTTTTGAATCTTCACACTCTAGCTATTTTGAAAATATTGGGCGAAACTGGCTGCGTAATAAAACAATGTCCCGTTCTCCTATATAATATTTACATAAACAACAGATAACATAAATCGGCGCTTAAATATGTAGAATGTAAACAAATCAATGGGTGGTGTACGAATTCGAAAAGAAAACATCTGTAGAATGTATACAAATCAGTGGGTGGTGTACGAATTCAAAATAAAAGCA